GAATCCCATGAATGGATTAACAGCAATCTCCCTCATCTATCAGCGTTCTCTCACCCATGCAGACCATACAGTGGGTGCACTGATTTGGTATCAGATTTAATTAGCTGGAGCCGTTTTTGTCCTGTCACTTTATATGTGACAGAAATAACAATGGCTAATCTCATTGTAATTTCAGTGCCATTTCAGTTATTATCACACGTGTAAAAGACTCTGTAAGTGGCCACTTCTCCGCAGACTGTTTACTGAAGTACTTACACTTGGGAGATGATTTGAGCAATCAGAATTCAATCCATCTGTAATGCTTTTTGGTTGGCCTTCTTGAGATGAGATAGGTAATCCAATGTGCCCAGGATGATGTGGGTATAAAGTGTTAATGGGGTTTTGATTACATTCATATATCACACAGCTGTGAATGAATCTAATGACTGCATATTTCGTACTAGCTATCAGTCAACCTGTGCAACCTTTTTACTTTTTACCATCTGCAGTATTTGTCATCCTGCTGTCTGTTGTTTTCTACTCTCAGTGTTGGAAAGACCTCCCTAATGAACCAGTATGTGAACAAGAAGTTTAGTAACCAGTACAAAGCTACAATAGGCGCAGACTTCCTGACCAAGGAGGTGATGGTGGATGACCGGCTTGTTACAATGCAGGTACGTCACAATTACAACTGGAAATCTCGGGAAATAAAACATCAAGAATGTTCAGGCATTTAAAGCCTGCTGTTATTTGTAGCTTCCTTTCCAGGGTATCAGCATTTTGCATTGTCTCCAAGATTTGTAGCAGTGTTCTGTTCTGTAATCTTGCCCATGTACTAAATGTTTTGTCTACTTGTGGTTGTCTAGATCTGGGACACCGCTGGCCAGGAGAGGTTCCAGTCTTTGGGTGTTGCATTCTACCGTGGAGCAGACTGCTGTGTGCTGGTGTTTGACGTGACTGCACCCAACACCTTCAAGACACTCGACAGCTGGAGGGATGAGTTTCTGATCCAGGCCAGTCCTCGAGATCCTGAGAACTTTCCCTTTGTGGTGCTAGGCAACAAGATTGACTTGGAGAATAGACAGGTTGGTATGAATGGATAATGTCTCTGTGATGACTTAGATTTTTTGCACTTTGAACACAGCAGTCACTTTAGCTGGGCAAAGTCATTTCTGTGGCCAGTAAGAAGGTTCATACTTCTGTAAGTTAATGAAAATGCACTCTCTGTGGCTTAATAATAGGATATTATTAATGTTTGATTAGATCAGATGCAAACCAATTAACATCATACTGTCAGACAAACAGATTTGGTACAGTGCTTGCTGCAAGATACATCTAAATTTGTTAAAAGTATGGCAAGTTTTTTTTCTTTTTTTTTATGACAATTTTTGACTTTTCTGTTATTCTGTTATAAAAAATGATCAGACTTGTGGCAAGAGACCAAAAATTTAAGTAGACATCTAGCACCCTTGTCCATCACAGTCTTTTTAAGGGGGGCGAAACTGGGACAATGTGGTGGGACAGTTGTATGCAACTTGACGACTAGGCTGGACATTGGAACATTATAATTCATCTGGAAAATGCTCCCATCTTTCTGCATTGTGTTGAGAAATAACATTTACTTCAACATTTTTTCTTTTTCTATTCCTTATACAGTACATTCCCGCTCACCATACTGATGAATCTCTTTCTCCTCACACACACAGGTAACCACCAAAAGGGCTCAGGCTTGGTGTCAGAGTAAGAACAACATCCCCTACTTTGAGACCAGCGCCAAAGAAGCCATAAATGTAGAACAGGCATTCCAGACAATTGCACGTAACGCCCTCAAACAAGTGAGTTGCAGTTGCTTGAAATGAAATATGAAAGATAGTGGAGATTATTAGCATTATATCTTGATGCAATATCTGTTCCACAATAACTGAATAAAAGTCTTCATGACTTTCTCCTATGCTGATTATTTTCTCCCCTGTGATTCCTGCCAGGAGACAGAGGTGGAGTTGTATAATGAATTCCCAGAGCCCATAAAACTGGATAGGAATGACAGAGCTAAACCTTCAGCAGAAAGCTGCAGCTGCTAAGGGACAACTTGGACCATCTTCTCTCTTGGCTTTCTGAAACGCCCTGTCACCGGTTACATCTCCTGCACCACTCCCAGGGAAAGGGACTTCCCTACTGGTCTTCCTCCTTCACGCCACTGTTCATTCCATCGACACAACCCCTCACGCAGTACGCAGCACATGGATGTAACCCACCCACCCACTTAGTTCACAAATTATTACACTAGCGTACTGTCAGAAAATACGCCGACAAATCCAGTGCCCAAAGATCACACAAGAGATGAATGACACCCCTCCTGGCCTCACAGTCCCCTGACTCGATAGTGAGTGATCTCTTGCCCTGCCCACCCATTTTTCTGACTCTCACGCTGAGGGGGCAAGATGGAGCCATGTTCAAAGAGTGCAATCGGGAACTCTAGATGGACTGGCTGATGCTCTGTAATGTGAGATGATGTTGGCTAATGTCAGCATCCCAAGTATCTTATTCTCTTTCTGTTTTTTCTTTGCTTTCTTTTGCCTGTCAACAAATAATCGAGTTGAACTATATATATATATATATATACATATATATATTTTAATTGGCTAATGTTATTTCTTAAGCCAATCTGAAACACATACTTGTTTTTTGCACTTTCTTTTTATGTTTTTTGCCTTTAAATGTTATAGAGGGATGACTGATTTTGGGCAACATCTGCTACCGCACGCCTTTTGGTAAGCTTCAAATTATACTTCCTCACTTTGCTTTCCCTGTCAATCATCCCCTGAGAATCTGTTGAACACTTTGGTGATTGTACTGCCTTTTCCCTTCAAGGTTGTGTGTAAATTGGTTTAAAACTGCCTCACACTGCAGAAGAAATGTTCCTAAGTAGACATTAAGTAAAAGCTGATAACGCAGTCACAGTGTAAAACATGGATTAATTCCTTGATATATTAATATTTGCCTTTTATGTAACATTACTTGTACTGATACTATTACTGCTGTATGTGTTATGTCCTTCATCAGACATCTTTCAACGCTATGGAATTACAATATGTGTCACCAACACGGCATACACCTGTCTTCTGTCATGTCTTTGTTATTGCTGTTCTCTCTATCCGCTTGTAGCTCAGGTTGGCTAAGTACTTAATATTTTTAATGGATCGTGCATTACAGTGTATAGATGGTAAAGGTAAATGGCTGATGGATTGAACTGAAATGGATGGTCTCTCTCTCCATTTAAAGAAAAGATCCAACTTTTTGCCCTGGTATTACTCTTTCTCCTTATAGAAAAAAATCACTGCGATGCCAATGATGTTGTCAAAGAAAATTGGGACGTCAAATAATAAAAAACTCTTGAATATATCAATGGTCTACCACTATGTGTCTTCATTTCTGTGTGATTGGTTTGGTTAATTTCTTGCATCCAGACACAGCCTCACTTGCGTAGTGAAAGATATAATTATTTTTCTTGGCATTTATATGTTCTATGAAATATGTGATATTATACTTGGATGAATGCTGTTTGAAATACTTGGTAAATGCCCTAACACAAGTTTTCTTTTTTTTATTTGGGCCAATAGACCTCATGGTGCTTATTTGACAGCTCCCTGACTCTCCTGTTAGTGCAGCTGCCCCTTTGTAATACTTTTAATTCTATGGATTTGGAAGATCTCTGCAAACTCACCGAGTGCTTGAACTCACTCTTTTTACACCCACCCAATATTTCCTATGTGTGTGTAGTAAAAGGTCAAATCAGCCAGAATAATTACAAAAGGTTTGCATGACCTTGTACAACACAGCCATGCACCCAATGCATTATGACAGTCGGAAGTGTTACTGAAAACATTAATGAGCCAATCATAGCCCACCACAGCGGGTGCTGTCATCACCCCCAGGAAGAGAGCCAGAATAGGAGCCTTTAGTCCCAGCTTGGATTTAAGGCTGCTCCTCACTAATGTCCGGTGTGGACGAAATGGGCCTCAGGCTGGCCAAACAACAGGAAATCAGAGGCTAATATTTGTTTTATGAAGACCCTTTTATTGACCAAGAATGTGGCAAGAACATTCCTGCAGTCTATAAAGTGGACATAATCTTTGTGTGACAACACACAAAGCACATTTGTAATACCTTCATTCAACAGATGGGCATTAAGAATTATACCTTCAGACCTTGAATCAGAAGTCTCAGCTTCATCCTCAAGGTACACACACAATAATCACACACGGGCTCAAAACAGTGTCCATCCACAGTCCTCACGTCTAAGTAAAGGGACTTCAAACTGTCATTTTCTGTACAACCTTCTGTTGTTGTGTTGTATGATTAAAAATAAATATCCTTGATCCTTGGAGTCATGCACAGTACCAGGATCCTGACACCAAAGAAGCAAACACGGTATTCAGCCATCATTCATTTTATCACCTGTGCTATTCCCTCTTGTGAGATATCTTCTGTATCACAGGCCTAGACCTTTATTTTTACAGCAGACATTTTGGATTGTCATAGACAACATTAAAGCGACTGCATTCCTCTGAGGTGAACTAGTTCCAGGAGCCTGCCTTTGTGTATACTGGCTCATTGTCATGTGGCTCATTAGGAGCACTTCAGGATGTAGACCCAGCCCTGCCACTTGCATTTGTGGCATGTTGAGAAAAGTCATTCTGGTACACCACCAAGCCCCGAAAATCTAAATGAAAACTTTATCATCATTCAATTGTTCATTTTTATAAGAATTTTGCCAAAACTACTACAGAAGTTTAAATTGAAAAATAAAAGAATCTGTTTAACAATTATTTTGGTTAAAGTAATAGTATGTTTTGTCTTCAGTGAGCTTTCTCTGCCATTATAGTATCACTGAAAAACAGAGAATTTAACTACCTACATTGTAAATTCCTAATATTTTACTGCACAGTGGTCACTGTGTGATGCATTTCATTTCTCCTCTTGATGTAACTGCGGTTGCTTTACAGCAGAAGTAGCTCGGAGGCAGAGTTGATTTCCGGTATGTTCACGGAAAAGCCCTGACAAGAGTAGCTACTTCCGCCTTTAGCCGCCTCTCACCATACAGAGAAATGGTAAGATAAATGACACATAAGTGCCGATAAACCGACACATTTAATAGCTACATACACCACACTTTGTTAAATCGTTAGCGCTCTTCGACTAAACATCCGTGCGTAAAGGAAACAGCTCGTGGTTTTTCCTCTAGTATTATTTGGGCTAGCTGAGCAGGCAGTGAGCTAACAGGCTAACGTTAGCAGGTAGAGAAAATATTCGACATAATAGAATCCTTCTTCGTCAGAGCGCGTACAGCGGACAGAACGTTCGAGTTAATTGTGACGTGTCGTGTCGGCCGTTGGTAAAGTTAAAACAACAAACAAACAGTAGTAATACTTTGTTGCTAAGTAACATAAAACACGAACTGCAGTGATGGACACATCTGTTGAACCAGCTGCACTGATGTCGATACAGCCCTCTGGCGCTGCTGTGTCCCTCAGCTTTAAATAATCTCATTGTTAAATGAACAGTTGTTTGTCTGCCAGTGTCTCCTGTCATTCCCTGGTGCACTAGTTGACTCTTTAGCTGGTAGCAGCTGCCCAGATTATGATGGTGGAGTTGCATATTCCCTCAGAGTTGAAAAATACCACAGCTTAATCATTCAATTTGTTTATCCTGGTTATCACCTTTTAGAATTGTAACTGCCTTTTTGTATTGGTATTCTATTAGTGAGGTCAGATATGAGGATCAGTTTAAAAACATACCTCTGTATAGCTTGATCGGTACAGTACAGTAACAATATATTGTCTTATATACTTTCTTTATCATTTTTAACATAAACGTATATTTGGTTATTTTAGAGTTGTAAAAAAATATGTACTAAGCGCTGCATTTTATATTTTATGTTTGCATAAGTCTAATTATAAATATATGCTCATTTGTATCTTAAACATCTACACATTTGAATGCGTTATCACTTAGTTTTGCCTTCAGCCAGATTACACATTTAAACCAGGGCATAAGACCACTGTTTTATTATTTTATTATTCTATGTTAAAGTATTTTAATATTAATATTTGTCAAAATTTCTGTGATGTTTTGCAAATTGTCACTCCTTATTTGTGACATAAATTCTTCTTACATTTATTATAAATCTTTCAAAATGTAGCTCTCTGCCAGGCTCAGGAAAGGAAGAGCGTATATATGAAACTTGTTATTCCACAGGACTTCTCGTAAGTCAGTCTGCCTTTAGAGTCAGGCATTCTTCTTTAGGAATGATAATCATCTTCACTCTCTCACTCTCTCCTTCCTCAGACGGCAACCTTACGCCCATATCTCAATGCGGTGCGTGCTACCCTGCAGGCCGCCCTCTGCCTGGAGAATTTCTCCTCGCAAGTGGTGGAGAGACACAACAAGCCAGAAGTGGAAGTACGGTGAGTCTGTCTCCGCAACGTCGAGTGTGACTTTGGATCGATTTAAGACCGAGCAGTTTCACCCCTTTTAATGTGGACATAAAATGAGTTCTGTGTGTTTCTCCCACTTTTAGGAGTAGTAAAGAGTTGCTCCTCCAACCTGTGATCATCAGCCGTAATGACAAGGAGAAAGTTCTGATTGAGGGCTCCATCAACTCTGTCAGAGTCAGCATCGCTGTCAAGCAGGTCAGTCAGACCACAGTCAGTGACTGTGTGTTAAGACCCTGATTCAAAAGAGATGGTTGCTTAGTAGTTAGCAAGTTATATGATTGCTGTAAAGGTCAGAATGTATCTGTAATCTTGACCATTTCCTTTTAAATAATATGCTGCTGCAGGCTGATGAGATTGAGAAGATTCTGTGCCATAAGTTCATGCGTTTTATGATGATGAGGGCAGAGAACTTCTTCATCCTGAGGAGGAAACCAGTGGAGGTAGGTTCCCTCACATACTTATTCAGTCAAAGAAAACTGCCCCAAACTCAATGAGTTGTTCTGTAAAAGCTAATATAGAACAAAAATTCAAATGCTTCAGTTATATGAACTGTTATATTATAACTGAGTCTAGTTTCAGTAATGAATGTAATGACTCATTAGAGCTGTTCCTGTTGCAGTTAGTGGTTATTCAGTTATCTCTATCTTTAAGCCACAAATGTTTACACATATAACAGACAGGTTTCCATCCTCCTTTCACAGGGCTACGACATCAGTTTTCTGATCACCAACTTCCACACAGAGCAGATGTACAAACACAAACTGGTGGACTTTGTCATTCATTTCATGGAGGAGATTGACAAGGAGATCAGTGAAATGAAGCTGTCTGTCAACGCCAGGGCTCGGATTGTTGCTGAGGAGTTCCTCAAAAATGTAAGTTGTTGTTTTTCTACATTTTTATGTGTCTCAGTGCATTGATGCAGCATAATGTGCAAAAGTGCTTCAGTTTTGGCATTATTTGTACGTGTCTATGAGTTTTGTATGGTAGGACGTTTTCATTGATCCGTCATGTATTATGTGGTTATTTTGGTGCTAGACTGTTTTGATGATATTAAAGGTGATGAAAGTTGTATTATTATATCAAAAAAAGTAATATAATTCTTCTTTGTCTTTTAGATTTACTGTAGCTTAGACATTATTTTTGTTTTATTCTTGCAGTTCTGAGAGAGAGAGAGAGAAAACCCGGGAATACATTCCTTTTGCAATCTTGGCCGTCACTGTGGAGCGTTCACATCACAGGGCAGAGAGGAGACAAAATACGATCAGCCAAGAGAAGATGAGAAATGTAAGACGTACGCTAAAGATGTACGGGCCAGTGGGGTTTTGCCCTTTAACCTTAAAATGACCCTTTGCTCAAAAATATTGACGTTTGTACATATTGAATATTCACACTGACATTCATTTCTGCCTTTAGAACATCAGAAGAAGTCCGGGCAGGTCCTTAAAAAAAAATATTTGTAATCAATATTCGTGAGCACAGGGTAATATGGATTTTTTTGAAATAATTTAAATGTTTTTTTAATATATATATATTATATGCACATGGATTTCATTTTGATGTTTTGTCATGACAGACCTTAAACCATGAGGGCAATCAATTGGCGCACATTTCACGTCACAAGTACACAGAGTCAACCCTATTGTAAATGGAAATAAATAAAACAAATATACTTGCTGGCAGTGAATATAAATAAAAACATTATCCTTTGTATTTTAGTGATTTTATTTTTGATCTGTTGTTACGAAGCACAAACAGCACAGCTCTGTCTTTACCCCAAACATCGACACTTTATTCAGATTGACAGCTGGAGACAAACAAGGCATTTGGAATTATATTTTCAGAACAGTAATAGGCAAAATTATAAATGTATAATATTACAGATATTGTACAGAGTTCTCCAAAAAAGACACACAGTATAATACATGTTGATTTACACACAAAACTTACATCAAACGAACATGCGTGTACAGTTTACACAGTACCTTTACACTCATATAAACAGGCATTCATTTGATCATTTGTCAAACAAACACTGCCTTCTGAAGTGACACTTTTTTTTAGACTCATTGTATGTCTAAAAAGAAAAAAATTAAAGCCCACAAAGTCCGTCCCAAATCCCCCCCCTGGTTCTACCATGATTACAGAGGCTCATCATTTTGGAAGAAGAAAATAAGCTTGCTACATCTTAGAGAAAAAGTGTCACTTGCATTTATAATGCTATTTCCATTTTTTGTGGTGTAAGAATTTGATTTTCACCCCCTGGAATGTTTAATCTTAATCTTTGTTTACTCAGAGTAGATACACTGAGCTCAATGTCTGCCTTCTTTAAATATAATTCACCAAACAGCAAAGAAAAACACAGTTTCTGTTTAACAGTCAGGGATTAAGGACTTTGATTAACTGAAGTAGTTACAGGTCTTTGAGTTATGATACTTACTTTTCATACAAAAGAAACATCTTGAGAAACACTGGCAGTATATGGCAGTATACACAGTACATACTGTAATATACAGTACAGTAGATATTAAATGTAATCATGGAAAAGGATGCTGAAAGTTAAGGGACTATTATCATTGCAAACAATAACAGTAGACTCACATATAAAAAATATTGGCATTTTCCTTTAGTTTCCCTGCCAGGGAGTTGAGCTACAGTAGCAGTACAGTATAGTTCACAACAGAACAGATGTATAAAAATGGATTACATTTAGTGAAAGTGCTTTACAGTTCGAGTCTGGGAAAATACCCAATTCTCCGTATCAGTGAAGAAGCTGCCATGGTGGGCAGTTGAACAGCACTGTTCCCATAATGCTGTTCAGGGGTCCAAACAGAAAGTCGGACGAGGTCTCAGCTGGAACAGGAAGTGCAGGATATTAGAAGTGAGCTGGGACTGTCTGCAGAGCGTCGTCTGTGGTGCGCTTCACATTCACATTCTGAGACAGGGGTGAGAGCAAAGGACTGAGTTATAATCCTACGTTACTTATCTGACATTTACAAAGTGACTTTTGTTCATTGAATAATCCCTTCATCTTCATGTCGATTAACAGTAAAATGACTCGGATACATTTAGTTTAATGAAGGCAGAATTCATGTTTTCATCTGGTATTCATAAAGTATATCAATGGACACTGGGTGATGTTACAGTGGTTCATAAATAACAGTTTTATGATAATCTATTAAAAGGTAGATTTCTGAAGACATTAAAACATGCTCATGGTTCAGAGTATCTAAATTATGAATTTCAAGCAAAGAGAAAGAAGAGTTTACTGTAGATAACTTTTCATACATTACTTTTACTGGGACAAATCAATGTGTATGTGTAACATATAGAGAACTGTACTTATAGACAGTTATTAAATGTGGAGCAACTTTGACAAAATTGATCACAGATGTTTTTACCAGGAAAAAAGGAGAAAACAGGAGAAAGAGAATGAGGTGTTTTTAAATTCAGATTTTTATATTGACAATAAGAAACCTTGACAAACACAAAAAATATGAAGAAAAAAAAATTACATTCAATTAAATAATTTAATAATGTGTGTTATCCAACAACCGGTTAACACTATTAGTGATGATTTTATAGTTATCATCTTGATTTGACTGGAGGTCTAGTGATTAAAGTTGTTGTTAGTGGGCACTGTAGATTAACCCTTCACATTTAAACAGTAAACAACAGAGACAAAGTTTATTTTAAAAAAAATATTACTGGAATTCAAATAATATTGTTCGTCAATTCATATGCAGCAAAAATGTATGTTGAGGTTAAATGTATTAATCACTTGTTTACATAAGTATAAAAAACAGCAAGCTTATATATAATATACATGTAAATAGCTTAATGTTAATACAAAACACTATCAGGGTAACATTCATTATAAAAACAAAATGCCCAATGTTAAATTCTACATGGTATTTATAGACTAATTCTAATCTTAACTCTAAAACCAAGTCTGAACCCTCAAACAGCCTTGTCCTGACAAATGTCCTCACAAATATACGTACAAGTACACACATACACACAGCTGAGTGATATGTCCTGAAACTGGATTCCAGTTACTTAGTTAATAAAAACATGTAAAACTGAAGAAAATACGGTGGCTCTGAAAGCTCAACGCACTGCAACTTAATAAAAACATATGCAAAACGATTAAAACAAAAGCAAAACGTCTTCACCAATTTATATTGGTATATATATATATATATATATTAATTTGACAACACGTGTGCAGTATTTAGGTTTAAAAAAAATGCAAAGTAAGAAAACACATCCAATGCAGTAATGCTGCAAGTTGTACAGAACACAACGTTAAATAACAGAAGTTTCCAGGGGACACTAGAAAGTGACGAACATGTCTGGACACTCCTGGGACAAATATTTGTTGTCAGTGGTGTGTTAATTTTAATTTTCTGATTGCATGATTCAGATATGATTTCAAACATTTTCTTCATTTTAGTGTTAACCTTCTGCTGATTATTAGCTCACCAACTCAACTGTGAATCATACAATCAGAATGTAAATTCATTTCAAGTGAAATAAAGAGTTTTCTAGATCATTTCTGTTTTCTGTACAACTTTCAGCGAGTCTGTATTTGGTTGTTTTCTGAATTTGCAGCGCGCTTCGGCGTTTGTTTTGTCAATTTGATGAAGATATTTTCTTCATTTCCATGTGTTTTCTCAAGTTGCAGTGCAGTGAGCCCTCAGGGCCACCATAGGAAAAGACCTGAGAGAAAAAAAAAACAGCATGATTCTGCTCCCACTAATAGAGAGAGAGAGAAATGAGATGTAAAAAAAAAAAATGGGAGGATGGAGGTAGGATCTGGTGTCAATGCTAAGTGATGTCACAGTTGTCTTGGTTGCTGTCACTGGTGGACGGAGACTGAGCGCGGCTTCCTCTGCCGTGTGTGAAAGATTTACATTCTCTGCGATAAGAAGAGAGGGGCGGATCAGCATTACTGACTGCTAGGCCTGCTTCAAGAGAGATGACGCAGCCTAAATATGATGGTCGACTCTCCAGAAATCATTGAAGAAAATCACACACAGCTTTTACAATTAAGAGTGTTTACAGCAAGACATCCTCCCGACTGAGTCCCTGGTCACAGATGAGTTGGATGGAAAAACGCGGTGAGGTGAATCGCCCCTGAAGTGGATTCAAGTTAGTTACGTCGTCTGCTGAGAGACATTTCTAAGTGCTGCCTGGGATACGTACCTCTGGTCTGTCTCTGTGTGTGTTCACAGAGTCCACGCCTAAATAGACAGACTCCACTTTACATCCTGAGTGAGAGCAAACAAAACAATCACTATTAATAGTTTGACCAAGTGGAAGTTACCTTTGGTTGTCTCCAAGTTTACAGTGGATGATTTTATTTAATAAATGCTAGCATCCTGCTATGTTTCAGACAAAATGATACTAAATCAGGGATGGCATTCTTGGGTGACTTCATGTGAAAGAATCATAATAGTCAAAAATATGTCAAAAGGCCTGTGGAATGACCGTACTCACCATAAGCCATGGGGGTCAACTTCAACACTGTGTGTAAAGGACACTTAAGATAAGGCAACTCATCTGTGGAGGCAGAGACAGAAAGTTATCAAACATCTAAGTTTCAAGGTGCAAAGCATGTTTTCATTCAGGCTGCAAACTGAGCACAAAAAAATAAAGCCTGGTGTGTATCATAAATAAACAAACTATCACAAATGTCCACACACTTTTTTTGTATATATTGCGTACTGTAAGTCCTTCATACCTGCAGTCTTGTCCAGGAAATATGCAAGAAGACAACGCATGACAGCCTGGTGACAAACAACCAGAATGTTCTCCTGTCTCTCCAGCTCCATTATCACAGGCTCCAGTCGCTGCACCAGGTCTTCATAAGACTGACAGAGAAACACAGACCCGTCAAACACACACGTTTCAGGACACAAACAAATCCATTCACCTCTTAAAATAATAATAATGAGACATTTGGAAGAATCTCACCTCTCCCTTAGGGTAGCGGTAGCGATACTTGTCTTGGTCTCTCAGTGCAAACTCCAGAGGGTAATGCTCTTGGATCTCCTCATACATCATTTCCTCACACACGCCCTTTGGTACAGAGGGGAGGAGCTTTGTGAGAACACAAATACTTAAAGTGGTATTTGTTTTGCTGAATATATTTTTAAAAAAAAATCAACATACAGCATCTATTTCGTTGAGAGACTTCCACTGTTCGTACGGCACTCCCAGGCACTCGGCTGTCTGGATCGTTCTCTTCATCTGGCTGGTCCACACTTTTAGATCTTTGATGTTCTGGTCCTGGATGAATTTCCCCAGAGTTTTGGCAAACTGGAAGGTAAGAGACCATTGTAGCAATAAACCATAAGAACATTTATTTCTCTTCAAAACCGTACCGACACATCTTTTTGACTGCGTTTAAACTCACACATGACTCATGCTCTCATACAGACACACACACCTCTTTTCCTCTGGCAGACAAGCCAGAGTCTCCTCCGATCCGTCCCTTGATGTTGAGGTCGCTCTCACCGTGGCGACACAGGTAGATGGAGCGTGGTGTGATGTGGATGTTCATCAGGTAGTAGACGATCCGGCTTTGGATGTGGTCGAGGACGCGGTTCACCAGGTAGCGGCGGCCCACGTCCATGATCTTTATGTAGGACAGATCCCTGGAGCGAGACAGTCAAGTCAGCAGTCTGCTACCTTGAAGAGGTCGTTTAATCTGATTGAAGTCATTTTGTGTGTTCTCACCTGTCCAGAACCTCATCCAGAGGCTGGTAGGAGGACTCGTAACACTTGATCCTCTCCATGAAGTCCTCAATGGCCTCCTCTGTGTTGCAGTGGATGTAGTCTGGGCTGCCCAACTTCACTTGCTATAAAGACAGAAACACAGGAAGAGGAGAGCAGAGAAAAGAGGAAGTAAGCTGTCTGACACTTTCAGGCCGTTTTCACACTCAGTTTGTGTGTTAAAATCAGAACCAGAGCTTGAAAGTCTTCTTGATTCTACACCGTGGTTCAGACAAAAGATTCATATTGCCAGATTTTAAAGGTAAACTTTTGATTTGGAGTAAACGTCCAAACGCTCACATCTTTTCAAAGTCAAAGTCAGCTTTAATGTCAATTTCGTCACATGCACCAGACATAGAAAGGAATCGAGAGGACGTTTCACACTCTCCCACGGTGAAACAGATAAAG